GCTGCTCTGTTATTTGTATAGTGTTAATAGCTCTACACAAAATATGTGTATCTGGGCTTATACATTTACATTCAAAATCATTTTCCATCCATTCACTTCACTTGGTAAGGAAGCCATCCCATTCTTTTGGATGTTACTACTGCGACGAGCAACAATTTGGCATTTCTATCAGAATGGAATTGGTGGAGAAAAGGGGACTTTAGAGCTTTGAGAAATGTTTATATTTTTGACAAACGTAATTATTATAGAGCAAGAGAACCTTAACTTAGAGGAAAACTTAAATTGCCTTAAGCTTCAGGTATTTACAGTACAGTAGGGGGAAATGCCTTTAGTATTCTCTCATCTGCTTTCTTTGTTAGTAATTCCACTGAATTTCCTGATTTTAACTATCACCTCCAAAAAAAAAAAGAATCCAAATTGTACCTTCAACTGGCATTTCTTAAGCATGCAGGTCCTTGTTCCAACTAGCCCCTGGATATGTTGTTTAGGCCCCCTCACCCCATCCCACCCAAATACACAAGGTCCACAGGGAAATCTGTCTCCACACCTCTCATACCCGCACACTGGTAGTTCCTGTATTACAATTACCATTTAGCCTATCATTATCATCATCATCATCATCACCATCACCATCATCATCATCCTCCTTTCCCTTATCCTATGGCTCAAAATTATGGTGCCAACTCTCCTCAGCAGCTCCCATTGCCAATCTCTACTGCTTTACCTGTATCTGACATTTTGGCCCATCCCTGTCTCGTCCCCTGTTGTCACCTATTGCTCCTGTGCAATAGGTTCTCTTTTATATTCATTTGTTCTTGCTCTTCTCTCAATCTAAAAAGCCCTTCCCCCATTCCATGACCATATCTTATGTACTCAAATGTACTCAAATGCCACTTTCACGTATCCTTCCTGATCCATTTAGTTAAAAGTATTTCTAGCTACCCTGAATTTCCAAAGACCTTATCCTTTACCTTTCTTATGGAGCACAGTTGTTACTTAATAAAAGTAGTACTTGTTGAGCATATACTGTGTGTCAGCACACACACACACACACACACACATATGTATGTATTATATATGTTATATATATATACATATATATATAATACACACACATACATACATAAGCACTTTATATACATTTTCACTTAATCCCCTGGGCAGCCCTATAAGACCCAGAGGTCCCTGTTTAATTGGATTTGGGTACAGCTTGAACATGGGGATGGGGACTTTTAAGACTCCCTGGTATTCCACTGTGTGGCAGACTGAGAACCAGTGGTAACTCCAAACCCATAAGCCACCTATTCTCCAGGAGGACGTATCACATTTGAAGCTTTCAAAACCAACGCTGGACTCCAGCCTAGTCCTAACAAACTGGAATCCCTGGGGGACAGAACCTGGGAATCCACGTGTTAGCAAAGCTTCACAGGTGATTCTGCCACGTAACCAGGATGGAGAACTACTCTCTCGCTCAGTCACTGTGTCATCTCCCAATGTCACTGGACTACAGGTGATTACATATGTCTACTCCCACTTTGTTGTCCATCAACTCTTTGAGGAAATGTTCATATTTGATTCATCTTGATCTACTTTCTGGCACATAGCAAGGTCCCTTGTACATAATAGATTTTAGAAACTTAATAGTAAAATAAAAGGCCCTTTGCTGATCTTATTAAGAAAACAACGAACACCTTTACGGAATACGTATCCTCTTCATGGGACTAGGTTCTAATCTCCATTACGCCAGCCTGGAAGCAAGTCATCACAGTGCTCTGCGGTGTGAACCCGGGATGGAGCCCAGACTCCCGCTCTGTATCTCCTGCCTTAAAAGCAACTGCCAAGTGAAACAACAATCTACGTGTTTGGATAGCTGCTGTTTCACATGTTCTACAATTTCAACATAACCTGGTTATTTGAACATAACTGGTCACATGGCGGGGGGAGCGGAAACTGTTGGCATCACGAGATGGATTTGGAAAAACATATCAATTTAAAACCAAAAAGTTAATTATGTGACCCAACATACTCCATCCCACCCTCCCTCACCCCCAGACGCGCATATGAACAAACACACCCTCTGATTGTTCTTTGACATTTCTTGACAACTGTTTAATTACTACATTAGTAAGTTTCTTAGTTTTCTTTTTCTTCTCAGTTCATGCTATTTCTCAGACTTTTCAAATCACCTGAGCTTCTGGTTATAAGTGAAGTCTATTTACCTAAAGGTTTATATACAGATTACCGAAGACAGTAAATTGTCATAATGTTCCAATCAATATGCATATGCACATAAAATGTATACAGGGATAAATTGGAAATGACACACAAGACATACAAACCTGGATTTAGGCTCTTTTTTGCCATTTCCAAGTCAGATAACTATGCACAGGAATGAACTTTCCAAAATCTCTTTCCTCACTAAAAAAAAAAAAAAAAAAAAAAAAAAAAAAAAAAAAAAATGGAAGTGAAAAGGACCTAAAATAGACCCTCCAAAATTTTCTTCCAAACATTATCATTTTAGAGGGTCATAAACTTTCATAATTCATTACCAGGCTTTTGGTCAAGATTAAATTAATAATCTTGCTTCTTATCCTTATTATCCAGGTGCTATTTTTAAAGGCCAACAGAATCATAGTGAAATTTGCAGACTTCTTTACAATTTAGAGAGTGTTGCCCTCCATTATCTCCTTTTGTTTTTATAACATAACTGCAGAATAGTGATTATACCCATTTCACAGAAGATGAAACTGAGATGCAGAGAGTTGACTCGCCCAGGGTAATGAAATGAGCAAATGGCAAATCTAGACCCCACCGGACCCAACTGTGATCATGAGCAACACCTCGGCGGCCACCAGCAAAGCTGGAGATGGAGGCCCGGGAGATCTGACATGCAGGCAGCTCAGCCCAGTAGCCTGTCTGTCTCCCCAAAATGTGTTCTAGCCCAGACTATAAATCACTTTCCAATAGAACACCAAGCGGGGATTTACTTAGCATATCATTTCTGGGTGTGTGTTTTCCTGAGCATTTGTAGATCTGTGTTTTTCCAAGAAGCTGAGTGTTCCTGATAGGGCAAGACAGATAATGATAAATGAGCATCTACATAAGCCTGGCTGGGAGGAGGACCAGGAACTGTTGACACCCCTCCTGTGAAGTTAATCAGATTCTTTTAGCTATTTCTTTATTAGCTAATGAGGTCTTGCCAAAAAAAAAAAAAAATGTGTCTGTGATGATGTGTTAGCATCTTTGCCTCTAGGTACATTTTCAAGTATTCATAAAGTAGCTCATCCGACCAAAGCTTAAAGCAAAGGTGCATTAAATATGAATTTAGTTAACTTCAAATGTAGGTGATCGAAAAACTGCTCCTGAAATAACCTAAATAGTCCTCCTCATTGGCGTTTCCAGATGGGCGGCTCAGGGCGCCACGTGGAGGGGGACAGGGAAGAGGGGGGATGCAGAGCAGCCAGGACTCGCAGGGCAGCTGGCAGCTTGGATCCTGGTCCTGACTGACAGCAGTGTGGCTGGCTTCGGGAAACTGAATAACTTAAGGGAAACAAAAACAAAATGAGAAAGGAATTACCAGTCAAGCCCCTGGGAAGGAGAGCAGCCGCTAGGTCTTAGTGCTCCTGGGGGTCCAGAAACCGCTTCCCACCTCAGTTCCTTATGGCCGTGGTTGGCACACTGCAGCTCGTGAGCCACATGTGGCTCTTCCACAAAATACCATGTCTTGGGTGAGTCTATTTTGAAGAAGTGGCATTAGAAGAAGTTTAAGTTTAAAAAAATTGGCTCTCGAAAGAAATTTCAATCGTTGTACTGTTGATATTTGGCTCTGTTGACTGAAGAGTTTGCCAACCACTGCCTTATGGCAAAGAGGGAAAAGGAATATCTCAAAAGGGATGCACTTGGAAAGGCAAACCACCTGTGAAGCTTGGTTCGCCACTGCCCTGAGCTCTGGGTCCAGTGCATCGCAGGGGTGGCCACCACGCCCTGGCTCTAGACCACGCTGCACACTGCAGCAAAGTCCTGGGGACACAGCTAGAACACACACACACACACACACACACACACCCAACTCCCATCATTCCAAAGCACAGCCACATAGATCCTTTCCACTTTCCATCCTTTCATGATTTTGATTCCCCAAAACATCATTTAATGAAGTTAACGTTTTGGCTCTTCTACATACAGCTGATAAGCAAAGGAACTTTTTCAAGAGATGCCTTTTGTTTGGTTCTAGTTGCCTGGGCTACCGAGTGCGTATTTGGGCTAACAAAGTGAAAATCATAGCCCAGTATTCTCCTTCCTGTTTCTGCATAAGTGACCAAAAGGAGCCCCCTAAATGGTGTGGGTCTCCCTCACCCTTCTCAGGAGGAGGTCAAGAAATAAGGAAGGAAAGAAGGCCCAAATCTTCCCACCTTCAGCCTTATGGGCACGGCAGTAAATCACAGTATTACTGCTTATTCAGTATCGCCTACAGATTTCTGTGCTCAGAAAGGGTGCATTCATGTCATCCCCACCGAGTCTTTTATTCACGGAGTCTTTGGCCTTTTGCAATATCAACTCTTTCATTTGAGCCACACTTCTGAAAGGAGGTGGCCATGTAATCCTACTGGGTGTGGATCTGGAGAGAAAGAGACATCATCCATGAACAAGGGCTGATGGTGCAAATGTTTCCTTCGCAGCTCAGTGCTCAACTTTCTGGTCATTTAGCTGGTTGAAGAACTTCCTCTAAATCTTAAAAAAAAAAAAAAAAAAAGTGCCTGAAAAGTAGCAACAGCATAGATAATAATAGTGCTGCCTCAGGACATGCTCAGATATAATATTTCTCTATTGCTGCCTGCTTTGAGGACACGGAGGCTCTTTGACAGCCATTCTGATTGCAGAGGGTAAAAGCTAATATTGGCTGAGCCAGGTGTAATTTCGCATTTCTCCAAAGAAGCACTGTTCCTGTTCCATCCCAGATGTGAATGTGACCGTGTCCTGTCCTCACTGCTCTGTTCCAGGTGATCCACATCACAGGCCGGCTCCGCCTGCGGGTGTCCCTGTCCCACGGGAGGACCATCCCCAGCCAGATCATGGGCCTCGTGGTCGTGGCGCACGCCCTGCCTCCGCCTACAATCAACGAAGTCAGAATCGACTGCCATATGTTCGTCACTCGAGTAAATATGGACCTCAATATCATTTACTGTGAAAATAGGTACTTGGTTTTTGTTTCCGTTTGCCCTGCTGTATGTTGCACATTGGTGAGGGTTGGTGTTGTCAGCAGGCTGCAGGGTTCTACTTTCCCAGGGAGGCTCATTCTCAATCCCGATCTTATTTTTAATGGATGCTTGGACTGACACCAAACATGTGTGTGTGTTTTTTAATTTAAAATGTACATTGCTGCCCTGATTTGCATTGGGGATAACAATGGAATGAACTGGGATACCTAGGCATCTATGTGCTATAATTAAGACCCATTTTGCCCAAAAATCCAAGGAGAGAGCAAGACTGAGACATTATTGGGAAAATGATGCCGTACAGGGTGATCAGGAGTGATGCCTCCGCCAGACCCTCTTCCTGACTCCTGATGGTCAGTGTTCACACGGGCAGGCATTAAGCATGTTGCCTTCGTCAGCTCAGGCTGAGGCTGCTACAACAAATCACCAGAGACGGGTGGCCTAAACAACAGACAGGCATTTCTCACAGTTCTGAAGGCTGGGAAGTCCAAGGTCAGAGTGCAGGCTGGTGAGATTCCCAGCGAGAGCCCTCTTCCTGGCCTACAGACGGCAGCCTTCTGCTGTCCTCACGCAGAGAGTCAGACAGCTGAGGGCTCTTCTCTATGTAAGGACTCACATTCCATCACAGGGACTCTGTCCCATGAACTCTTCTAAACCTCATCAAAACCAAGGGTCCTGCCTCCTAATATCATCACATTGAGGGTAAGGGCTGTAATATATGAATTTGGGGGGTAGGGGGGAGAGACACATTTAGTCCACAGTACATCTACGGAACCAGTGAGAATCAGAGCCCCCTAGAGGAAAAAAGGACCAAACACTTGATCCTGATATAGGTCATCAGACTGGTCTGGGCTCTCTACACATATAATAAATAAAATTTGTAATTCTCACTTCCATAAACTAAAAAATAAGATGACTCATTGTGTGAATGACGTGCCAGTCCTTCCTCAGGATTGAGCTTTTATAAAAGGATTTTTTGGCCTTTGGTTAAAAGTTCACTTTTTCCATTAAGCACAAAGCGAGGGACACAGAAGTGGGAAATGCCCCTTCAGACCTTTCACCTAGAAGTCAGCAGCCCTCGGACTAATTTAAAGAGAAGAGGTTGCTGGGATGAGGGGAGCAGGGAAAGGAGCAGTGCAGGGGCTGCTGAGGGAGCTGTGGGGATGCTGTCCCTCCCCGGCACTATGAGAATACAGAGTCAGTTTGGAGAAGAGGCTATTGTGGCTCAGTGTCGTCAGCCATGGGTACAGTACATGCTCATTGAGCCTTGTGAGTTCCTATGGAGGAAAAAGGAAAAAGCAGAATGGCCCTAACCAGTTTGGCTCAGTGGATAGAGCGTCAGCCTAAGGACTGAAAGGTCCCAGGTTTGATTCCGGTCAAGGGCATGTACCTTGGTTCCGAGCACATCCCCAGTAAGGGGTGTGCAGGAGGCAGCTGATTGATGTTTCTCTCTCATCGATGTTTCTAACTCTCTATCCTCTCTGTAAAAAAAAAATCAATAAATAAATTTTAAAAAAGAAGAAGAAAATAAAAAGCAGAATGGCCAAGTGGCTTGGTAATGCCTCTTCATGGCCAAGCCAAGAGGCATTCAGTCCATCGGGAAGTGAAAGGTGCTGCAGCTGAGTTAGAAATGTCAACCATTTCCAGGCAGGATTGGATTCAGAGAAAAGAATTCACCAATGGGAAAGATACCCCCCTGATTCTTAATGTTCAGTGGGGTAGAAGGTATCATGAAATAGGCACTATCTATCTAATAACAGGGTAATATGCAAATTGGTCGGGATACCTTCACATAATGACTGATCAGCAGGCTGTGTGCACAGCAGGTGTGGGCAGGGACTTGCAGTGTTTGGGATGAGGGCAGAGGAGGCAGGGTCCAGTGGAGGGTGGCCTGTACTCCCCACATAGTGGCAGCAGCTGTGAGCGCTCCCAATAGCCCCTGCCACTTGCCCAGAGCTGGCCCTGGAGCTCCGGCGAGCCACCAATGGCCACTGCCGCTGCGAGGGTCCAAGGCTCAGTCAATGAGGGCCGGACAAGACTCAAGCAAGCTGCAGAGGCTGTGATGGCTGAGGCTCAGGCAACCTCACCGCCAGCAATGGCAGCAACAGAGGCATGATAGGGGTGTCACTTTCCCCTCATTGCAGGATTGCCTCCACAGAGGAAGGCCAGAGGCAGCAGCAGTGAGGGGGTAATAGGAGTGGGTCTTCCCCTGATAGGCTAGTCACCTCCTGCAGCGGGAGGCTGTGGCCAGACTGTGGCCTAGGCCCGCTCCTGGTGGGTAGTGGACCTAAGCTGTCAGTAGGACATCCCCTGACAACTCCTGGACTGTGAGAAGGGGCAGGCCAGGCTGTGAGATCCCTCCCCCCCGTACAAGAATTTCATGCACTGGGCCTCTAGTTATTTAATAAGTAACTCTAAATCTATTTTTTAAGTTTTTAGTGGCATTTAGTAAAAATTGTAGCATCTTAACTGTATAGTTATCTATATCTAAGGTATTCTGGAATGGTCATAGGAAATCAGGAAGGGTACTTAGCCAAATGATTGGCTAGAGTTGGCAAGTAATAATAAAGATATCTAACACTGAACACTTACTACACACTTGGCAATGTGCAGAGCTCATTATAAGGGGGGTGGGGACAAAAGTAGGTTTGTATCTGTGAGTACACGAAACAGTTTATTCTTGTATTATTCTTTATTAATTATTATATTATTTTCCATCTGAACAACTATAAGCCTACTTTTTGCCCCACCTTGTCTGTGCCATCTACCTCAAGATCTCTAGACAGTTCTGTGAGGCAGGTCTTGCCATTGTCTCAATTCCCCTCAGGTGATTTCAGGTGAAAGAGAAAGGTAAGTTTACCTGAGGCCAAGATTTAAATCCAAATCTGACAGACTCAGAAACCTCGCACTTAGCTCCATCCTGTGGGGCCCTCATGCATTCCCTGTCTCTTATTTTCCTCAGAAGTCAGGCCAGAAGTCAGTCATAATAACTGCCTAGGTCCATGGTTGGCAAACTGTGACTTATGAGCCAAATGCAGCTATTTGGCCCTTGAGTGTGGCTCTTCCACAAAATACCACGGCCTGGGCAAGTCTATTTTGAAGAAGTGGCATTAGAAGAAGTTTAAGTTTAAAAATATTGGCTCTCAAAAGAAATTTCAATCATTGTGCTGTTGATATTTGGCTCTGTTGACTAGTGAGTTTGCCGACCACTGGCCTAGGTAGACCTTTCACACATGTACACCCATGGAAAAACAGCCGCAGCCTATAGAGCTGTTTATCCTGGTTTAAAATGTAGAATGCTGGAGACCCAGGAGGCAGAAAGTCAAAGGATGAACCACGGTATTTCTTCTTTGGAAATATAGGTCAGCTCCCTTAACTTAGATTACCAACACCAATTCCTAAAAACAAGGGGGCAGGGGAGCGTCTTGTCTTATTTACCTAACATTTACCCAGTGATTGTCCTATCCAAAACTAGCACTTAATTTTCATGAGATCACAGACTAATTCTTTTGACATGCTCCACGGAACCAAGTGCCTTATGGTGCCACTCTAGTAATTGAGATTACATTCTGTAACCACTTTAAGCTATTTTTTCTTCACATTTAAATAAAGTTTTCTACAACCCCTTATTAGCCAATACAATAAAGCATTATTTCCTGACTGAAAATGATAGTAATTATTAAAAAAGACCTATGTGGAGGTAATTGTGTATTTGACCTACAGGAGAAGCATACTGACAGCTGCCTTCTGCTATTGCATCTTGTATTCTGATGCAAATGTGTGTCTGATGCAATGCTATGTCCATTTCATTCATCCCCTTACCAAGCTCTGAGCTATTTTACAGGTGAGGAAACTGAGGCTCAGAGTGCAAGATGCCAGGGGGTTCTGGTTCTCATAGAGATCATCAGACTGTTCTGGGGCTCCCACGATATAGGGTAAGAGGTCCCTGAACACTGAGCCGGTCACTGTCACCTCAGTCCCAGGCTCTGGTACCAAGAAGTGGTTCTATTGTTTGGGAGAATTTCATTCAAATAAAAAATAAACTAAAGAGATGTCTTCCCTAAAGAATGAAGTGGATTTTTCCCTGGGTTTGTTGTTTAATTAGGAGATTGCTAACTAGAAATTAAAGCCAATCCCTAACTCTGCAGACCACCCCCCTTCACCCTCCAGCCCTGTTCCCCAGGGTTCCCCCGGACAGTCTCCGGCAAAGCTGACATCTAATGCTTTCAGAGGAGCTGGCAAACTTCAGAAACACCAGTGAGGGCCTCTTAATGACATCCTTGTTCCCCTCATTTGCAGAAAGGGGGTATAAAGAGTGCAGGGAAAGCAGCTAATGGTTTCAGGAAAACACCGACTAATCTGTTTTGTACCAGAAAACCGTGGAATCCTGAGGAAATACTCCTTTTTATCACCCATTTAGTCTTACCTTGCCAAGAATTCTATGTTTGCCAACTATGATTTATATTGCTAGACATTTAGACATTCACTCACTGTGTAGCATGTTTTAATTATACTCCATATTATTCTGTTTTTTGTTTTATTTCTTATTTCCCTGCCTCGGGAGTCAGAGTTAACTCCCCAGCAGTGATCTCATGAGTTTCTTAAACATGTCATTTCTAAGAACTCGCTTGAATACATTAAAAGTCACAGACCACAAAACAAGCAGGGACACGAAAGGGAATGAAGTAAACAGAGGCATATTTTAGTTTGGACTGACCAGAATGAGCATGTACTTGGGAAAGGAGGAGGATAATAAGCATTCTGACATGTCTGTGTAAACCAGGCAGCTTCTCCCAACGTGTTTTCCAATTTTGTGCCCTTTTCCCGCGCTCCTGCCCAAGGACACTGACGTCTGGACAATCAATGGCACCGGCTCACGCACACGCAGTGTCGTGCACAAGGCTGGCAGAGCTGCTGAAACGGTTTAGAGTTTCTGTGTGGATGCCACCACAAAGTGCCAGTTAAAAGGCCAGGAGTGAGAGCCGGGTTCCCAGATGACTAAGACTAAAAAAGATAACACCTCCAGGCATCTGTGTGTCTCGGCATTCAAATCCCATCCCTTGAAATGCCAATTTGGACTTTGTGCCAAGAAGCAGCTGAAGCCCTTTTTCATGGAAATACCCAATAGAAGACCAATCTGTTTAAATGAAAGGTGTCTCTAATCATTTGGTATAAACATAACATGTTTCAAATTTATTAAGTAACCTTGAACTATCTTGGCCTCTAATGAGAATCTTCCATTGTTCCTGATTCTCAATAATTCCATGGAATTATGTTGTCTAATTGTGTATTCTGATGCAAAAAGAAGAAGAAGAAGAAGAAGAAGAAGAAGAAGAAGAAGAAGAAGAAGAAGAAGAAGAAGAAGAAGAGAAAGAACCTCTCTAATTATTTAAACGCAATTGCTTGATCTAGCACATTTTCTAGTTTAGAAAAAGTCTGTTATTCGTTAAAGAAAATAACCTTATGTATAAAGGGTTTTCTCTCCAAAGGCCAAATCCTCCCAGGTACCCTGGGATAATGAAAATCGCCAGTAGGTTCATTTCTGAGGCATCTGACAGTTTCTATATTTTCTCCCCTTCTGAATTCCAGTCTGTTGTTCTTATTGCAGGATCAGCGATTACATGGATCTGACCCCGGTAGACATTGTGGGGAAGAGATGCTACCACTTCATCCACGCGGAGGATGTGGAAGGCATCCGGCACAGCCACCTGGACTGTAAGTACCTCTCGTGTGGGCGTGGGCACAACTGGCGGGCTTGTCTCTGGTGCCTGTTTGGTTTCAGTGCGGGTTTCTTCCTGTGTACCTCCGAGAGGACTGTCAGCGTGCGGTGAGAAAAAGTGAGACATAAATCACTTCAACTTGTGTTGGAATGAGATTGAAAGCCGCACCTCGGGCCCAGAGAAATGGCTGGGTCTTTAGGCACTCACCTGGGATTTCATGGTCTCCTGTGCTTTCTCTCTCCTGAAGCAATGACAGAACCTTTGTCTTAAGTGCTTTCTTGACCCCTTCATTTTCTAGGGAGTGACTTTCCACTCTGAAATGTGTAGTCTCTGTTTCAAAATGTACAAGGGAGGAGACAAGGTCAAACAGGCCAGAGCCCATAAAATGCCCAGCGGACCAGCCACAGCGCCAGGGTGAGGGGAAGCCTGGGGAGCAGGGGCGGAGCACGTGGCAGGGCCAGGGCAGCCCTCAAAGGGTCTCCTTGGTGTGTTTCTGGAAAGAGGATGATTCAGAGGAGTAGGAGACTCCATCTCCTGAATTTCAACCCTTTGAGTCCAGTTCCCAGCTCCTGACCTGCAGGCTGACCTCCAAAGCACCCTTTGTTGCGTTTAAGCAAAGCAGGACAGCAGTTTCCCGGCTGGGTCCATCTAGTGACCTGCAACCAGCGTCCTCCTGGCGTTTTCCCTCATCAGAACCAGCTGAGCTGGGTACTGTGCGTGCATGGGGTCTGCCCATCCCACAGGCGACAGGCACTGACCGGGGAGACCTCTTGGGAAGGGACCATCTCCTTCCAACCAGAGCCCTTTTAGTGGCCTTCCCATGTTCTCCTCCTAGAACAGGAAGGCCTCCCAGCTTCCTTCCTGGAAGTTTAAAACCCTGAACGCTGCTTTTAAACACCCACAAGGCACCACAGATGAGCTTGAAAGTGAAGCTTTTTGTAGTAAAAGCAGCCAGGTGGCCTTTGCACTTCCTTCCTCCTCCCTCCTCCCACCCCCCTTTCTCACCACGGCAAGGACAGCAGTTGTTCACTCCTTTCAAACTCAGATCTTCAAAAGGATGATGGAGAGACAAAAGTCTAGCCAAAGTCTCAGAGTGGGAGCGTCTTGTTCTGTGGTTTTAACCCTGAATTGGCAACAATGGCCTGGGACCAAGTTCAGTGTCAAGTTTTGTCGTTAGCTTGTCTCTGGGAAAAGCCTGCTCTCCAGCAGTCTGCACCAAGTGTGCTCCTAGGATCACACACCAGGGACTGAGGGGACATGCCATTGCTGTGGATGAATGGGGCGTGTGTATTGTAGAAGCAGAGGCTTTTCGGTTAATTGGAGGGAGGGAGGAGGAATGATGCTGTTTCCTGAAAGGAAACACCCAGGGTTTTTGTAGCTGGGGATTTAGAGAAAATGGAGAAAAAAATCAGAATCTTTACAGGAAGCTGAAGGTATATAGGTATATTTTTACACCAATATAGGCCAGAGAGCCAGACTTTTAAAATGAATATTGTTTGTAGGACACTGTCATAGGGAGAGAGTGGTGTTTTTTCATTTGAGAATCTTAATTGAGGTCTAAATTCATAAACTTGACGCTGACAAAAAAAAAAAAAAAGAACTTTGTCATCCTTGGTTATTATTTGGAAAACATCGTGCTTTCTCTCTGGGATTTGATTTACAGCTTGAAGAAACACAATTCCTCAAGTATAGTGGGCTAGGGCAGTTCATTCCTTCCCATAAAGCAAAGGTCTCCTACAAAATATATTTTATGCCATTCTTTCCGATCTACTTTTTCTCATTTTCAATTTGAGAGCACTGAAAATAAACAACTCTGCCATTCACTATTGCGGTAGTCTCCTAATTTTTCTGGTATCTTGCCAGGTAATAAACAGAGAAGGTATGCTTTCAAATTCCCTGATTTTTTTTTCATTACTTGATATTGACATACTGGCTATTGCTTTATGATTTAGCCTACTAACAATGATTGAGTTCACTCTTTCAACTCGTACACATGACTTCTAATTTAAAATTCTTTTAATAACCTTAAACACATGAAAAACAAATAGAATGAGCTGATAATTCTGCACAGTAAAATACACTGCACATATTTAGCTATCATGCTGTGGAATAACTCCACAATGTCAAGTAGCACACAATTAGTAAAACTGTAGGGGGAGAAAAAGGAGTGTTTTGATCCTGAAGAATTTTGATCCTAATCAGATTGAAATTTCATCGCTCTTATAGAGCTTAATATCTTCAAACACACACACACACACACACACACACACACACACACACACACCCCAAACTGATGCCAATGTCAGGTTTGCATTCTGTGACCAAAATAAAAATGCTAAAATATACAAATGCATCGCGCCTTGTACAATACACATTAGCATCATTATAAAGTAAGATTGAGTCTAAAATTGTGTGATGGAATGTCCCATGTTTACTTAATTCTCTAACTAAAGCCAGCCCAGTAACAAAATGACAGGGCATGTAATAAGTCTTGGTCTGGTCGTGTAAACATGGGGGGAAAAGGCAAAGAGCCAGCAAGCTCTCCCTTGTCCACAGCCCTAGGCTGTTCCTGAAGACGCCTCCGATGCGCCTCTTGGCTGGAGAATGTCATGGTGACACTGAATCAGCTCAAGAATAAGTCTGAATTCTAAAACAAAGGCATGGTTAAAAAACAAACCACATTAACTATTTAGCTTTTCTTCCTAGAGCTATTGGCACAATTCCTGGTGCTGCCCGTGAAAGACAGTTTTTAGCTGTCTGATGATATTTCTGATACTTTGATATCTGTCTTGTGCTCCAGTTTATGGGTAAGATTTTGAAAAAAGACTCAGTAGACTTAAATAACTCAAAACGCTGTCTTTATCACATATCTCTTTTTTCCTGGCATAGGCAGCTGCAAATCCTTAGGTGCACTTGTCTCTAGAATAAGAAAAGGAAAAGGAAACCTCAGCTGCACCAGCATTTGACAACTCGGATAAATTGAACCAAGAACTTTGAACCATCTACACTCCCATTAGGTTAGCAGGAGACGCCTGATAGTTCACTGTGTTTCAACATAGAGAATCACTAAAAATCACATTATCTGTGCGTTAGTGAGTTAGTGAAATGATACTGGTATTCTAAAACCAAAGGAGTTTTAGGTCCTCTTTTTTTCACACTGTGAGCAAGATCCTTCTAGGATTTTTTTCTTTTTTGTCACCTCACTGAAGTCATTGAGCCCATCTCATCAATTCTTTAGGCCAAACTGACCAAATCCACATGCCAAGGTTTGAATATTAAACCATTCAGATCACCAATTATTTGAGCATCTTTGCCTATCACCCTCCAGCTCTCCCTTGCTCAGGAGACATTGACTATGAGATGACTAGTCCTGTCTAATCTTGTCACCTGGAGTGGCATGTTCCAGTTACCCAGAGCATCAGTGTCACTGTTCCATGTGAACAGAGTAGCGTAGCCATCTACTCCTCCACCTCTACCAGTAGCCTGGGAAATAGATGAGCACTCCGCAAATGCTAACCCAGACAAGAAGCTCTCCATGTACCTTCTAACCCAGCCTTTTGTCCACAGAAGATGTTGAACGTATCTTGACATGGCCTTGCGGTTCTCCCCTAGTCAAACCCACAACAACTCTCTAAAACCTGGAAAGAGTGGCCTGAAGGGAAACTTCCTCCAGGCCCAGGGCTCCGGAGCTGTAGGACTTGAGAGAAAAGAAGCCAGATACTATGGAGAGGAGGCAGCTCTCCCTCCCTGGGGCTCTGAGGGATGAGGAAACTGGGAGGGTTCTTTCCGAAGGGGAGCAGGACTTCCAGCTTGTCTAGATGACCGTGCAGAGTTAAAAAGCATGGTCTGTCCAATATATTTGGAGGTGTTAAAAAAAAAATACAGCAGCCTAAGTATTTCTTTCTTAATTACTAAATTCTATACTTCCTAACAAAACTAATGCACAGCTACCTGGCATAATGCATTCCATGCTGTTTTGCATCAATAAACCCTACACTTTCCTCCTGAAGGCGTCTCATCACCAATGCAAGCCGACTGCTTAATGCAGGACTAATTAGTATATCCCCTTCCAGTCTGCAGGCCCTCCATTGTAATTCCTTCCCAGCTCATTTTTTTCCACAACGCAGCATCAATCAAAGTAAGTGCCCTGCCTGCCTAGGAAACACAAGATGTCCTCCATGCATTTGTCATCTGCCACACAAACAAAGGGGGAATTTAATCGTTGATTTGGGTCTGCTGCCATTGCACTGGGTAGCGGAAGCTGGGGGTGAAGGGAGAAGGGAAGGGATCAAGTTTGATGTGTGGGCTACATCCAGAGAGCACAGGGGACCCTCTTCCATTTTCTGATCTTAGCCATTTTCAGGGCTGGCTCTTCAGGGATTTAGATGCAACTTAATCATTGTCTGAACTTCTTTCCCCAAAGCAAATGATGTTTCTGCTTCTCCCATGGGAATATGAAAATTCCCATGAAAGGGGATGCATGTAACAGCCGCCATGTCTGACTTTTTTCAAAAGCTACGTTAGCCCATATTGTGTGTCTGTCCACAATAGAGACTTGTCACACAGAGACAAAAGAAAGCCAGGTGTTCACACAGGAGTGAATTAGTATTATTATCTTATGTATTTTTGAGGGGTAGGGTCAGGGAGGAATGGAAAATGCTGATTTGGGCTTTTCAAGTTCAAGGACAGGCAAACTCAGAGTACACAGACTAGCGTGGCTCTAACCACCCACAGGCCAGCCGTCCCTGCCACAGTGCATTACAGAAACGCAGACGGTCAGGCCTCTCCCAGGCTCCTGAATCTGAATCTGCGGTTAACAAGATCCCAGCTGACTCAATTCACATTAAAGCTTAAGAAGTACTGACTATGCTAGTATTTAGAAGGCATTGTTTTACCTGGAGTAAAAGTAAATACACATCAACTAAGGATTTAAGGACTTTATTTTAAATTTATTAGTAGTAGTAAAATATGAGTAGTGCATTGGCTCTCAGGATC